CACCATGAATATACCTCAAGTAAATAAAAAAACCAACAACAACATAAAATTAGTAAAAAAAAAAATTAAAAAAAAACCACAACTTCAAATTTATTTTAATATTTTTATGCAAAATTCTAAATTTTAATAAAATCACAGACTTTTACTTCATTTTAAACATTTTTTACAACAAATATATATTTTCGTTAGTTTCACCCAGCTCTTGGTGAGGCTGATCAAGACTGGATTCTGCAACTTTAAACCCACTTGTTGGCTTTACAGTGATAGTTTGTCATTTATAAAGAGGTAAATCAATTTTAAGATGAGTAACGGCTGTTTTTACCTTCAATATAAATTAAATATTTAATTAGCTATCAAAAGTTATAATAAATACAATAAACACATTGAAGTACTGAAATCTCAACAGAAAGTTCAGTATAATGTTACTTTTACTGTATTTATTGATCATTTTATTGCCATTACTCATAAAAACATCCTTTACTGAACATCCATCCATTATCTTTGACCCACTTCTTCCTTTTTGGTCACAGGGGTCACTGGCGTGAGAGGCAGGGGACATCCTGGACATGTCTCCAGTCCAGCACACGGACACACAGTGACAAACGAGACAAACAAACATTCACTCTCTCTCTCACACCTAGAGACAATTTAGAGTTACCAATCAGCCTAACATGCATGTTTCTGGTCTGTGGGAGGAAACCCATACATGCACAGGGAGAACATGCAAACTCCACCCAGAAAGGCCCCTGGACTGGGATTTGATCCGGCAACCTTCTTGATGCGGGGCAACAGTTCTACCAACTGAGCCACCGTGTCGCCCCTTCACTGAACTGTTAATAAATCAAATATTTCTAAGATCACATGTCAAATTTAGGTTAAAAATGAATTTTAATAGTGAACATTTTTGTCAACTTGTTTTTTCCTTCAGCGTGTAGATACTACAACAACCATTAAGTAACGTCCTCTGAAGTTTGTTTCCACTGTACCTTCCTCCTGATGAGG